TCAGTCAGAGGCTCATCGTGACTGGGTCTCGCTTGCCGCGGGATACCAAAAAGATGTTGAAGAGCCAGGTGGAGTGGATTAGGTGCTGGGAGTTGCAAACGAGTGGGCACTCCCCCAGACTACGGCTGGCAGTCTCATGTTTCTCTGAGAATGATGCTGTTCCGGCCGGCCAGGGCGGCACTTTGAGCTTCAGCTGGGCAGTCTTCCTCGCAAGCCTGTGAGGAGATGCCGGCAGACAAGCAGCATTCGTGTTTCTCCGTCCGCGGTCCAAGCAGAAGCGGTTCACATGTTGGACGTTGCGGGTGTACGGTGGCAGCTCCATTGTTATTTTGTGGGAATTTGCACCCGCAGGTAGCAGTCAAGTGAAGATACGAACCCCATGCCATCTAAGCTTCCAGCCAAGGCCCTGCCCCAAGAGCAGCAACGGGCTCAACCCTTAACCTGAGTCGTCATTTGGGAGATCGTGCACGGCAAGCAAGACAAGAGGCGCATTCCGTCACATAAGCATGCTTCAACCTTGGCAGCTTTGCAGATGCAATAATTAAGAAGCTAAGGATCCAAGAGCTTCTTTGAACCCAGCATTGTACAGGTTTTTGTGTTTGGGACCTCCCACAATCAGAAGCCCTTAAACCGCGTTGCAAACCTGGACTTCCGGACCGTGACAACACTTGAAGTTTCCATACATGACAAGGGCTCCCAAGGGTACTTTGTTTTGAGAAAGCTTCAACCCCAAAACCTAGCCCCCTTCTATCTTTGCGTTGGAGCCTTCTAGTGCTTTGGGTGCCATGGCCGGGGTTTTCGCGGCCCTGGGGCGGCTAGGCGCGTAGATCCAGCTGAGTGGTCGTCTAGGTCCCTTTAACGTGATTTCAATGGCTATGACCCTGGCGACTTTTTTTAAAGAAATTCCCATGCAGGACATTTGAGACAGGATGCATGAAGAGAGTGCAACAAATGATGAGCATGCCTTGCTTGAGTGCCAAGGGGCCATGGGAAGCCAAGAATCTTTGAGCCTTGTGCAGGTCAGTCTCTGCTAGGCCAGACACCGCTGGAGCCTCAATCTCTAACGAGTTGCAGGAGGTCAAGCTTATGTGGACCACTCCAGTTTGACGCATTTGTGTTGGTGTAGATGTGGGTGCGGGCAGCCTAAATTTCGTCAATCAAGGTTGCCCGAAGATGAGACCCACATGCTATGTCCTACGGAGACTCCGCACTGGATAGAGGCACCAAGGCATCGAAAAGGCTTCCACTGCAGAAGCCCTTATTGGAATCTATGAGTGCACTTGCATAGTAGATCCTCGACGGAGCCCGGCCCGCAACACACATTTAGGCTGCATGTGTCGAGCCATCGAAATCTTAGATCATCTGACTGAAGAGGCTGAGTAGACGTTCGATGATGAGTTGACACCATCTGCATGCCCATGAGGGGCAACTCGTGGGGGAGCTTTGGACAGCCCGCGGAGAATCAATGCAGATGCGAATCGCACATGTTCTACCGCAGTAACCATGGACATCTGGGCCATGATGTGGAACCATGGCTTTCCCATCATGGCATGTCAAAGTGCACCTGAGGCTGCAGCAAGCTCAGCGCCACCTCGCTTCTGATGAGGCTGGTTACGAGCATGAGGAACAGGAGTACACTTCGCAATTGTGATGAGTAGTAGCATCCTCAGCACCGCCATGGTCATATTCAAGGACTATAATAACGTGTCGGACCGGTTTGTTGTTGGGCGAGGTAATCCCTAAACCCAAATTCTGGAGAGCACACGTAGGCTGGTCCCATATAAGACGCCTCCCTACACTCACTCCCAATGGCCCAGCACTAGTTGGATGCCCTGAGCTGCTGGCATGTTAGCTTGCGATGCCGTACGGCCATGCTGGCGGCAAAATCCCTAAATCCCTATCCCTAAACCCTTCACCCTACACCCTAAACTCTAAATCCCTAAGCCCTACTCCCTACACCCTAGATCCCTAATCCCTAAACCCTTTTAATAGGAGGTAGTTGAGGAAGCCGTTGGATTTTAGCCAGGCCGCCTTTGCCTGGCGAGCCTCAGAGGCGCTGAGGTCTGAGACCAGCGCCGAGGCCAGCATAAACCAGGGGGCCCTTCAGGAAGGGATTGGGGTTCAAGGCAGTTTAGGGGATTAGGGGTTGAGGGTTCAGAGGTTTGGGGTTCAGGTTTTGAGGATTTTGGGGATTAGGGGGTTAAGGTATATGGGAGTTTGTGCTGTGCGTCTGTCTGATAGATGGACCCTGAGCACACAAGAGACAGAGAGAAAGAGACAGGGCTTCGGGTTTAGGGGAATCTAAGGGTCGAAATATGGGATGCTAGCACGTGCTCTTAGCCTGTGTATGGGGGATTAGGGGCTCTGAAAGCAACACGTTAAGGACCCATTTTAGGGGCCGTCAGGGATCCTTTCAGGACGAATAGGGCTGCGTAGGTGGAAGCGGCTCGGATGCTGCAGCTTGAGGTGGTGTCCAGAAGTTCCGGAGTGTTTGTTGTTGTGAAGGCTACTATGAGTACAGTGGCCTCGGTTTGAGTAGTTTGGATTTCAAGCACTCCGGCAACTGCTAGCAACATGACATCTCAGAACTACGCATGCAAAATAAGTGCTTCAAGTCAGGCTCTGGCGACCGCTGGCGTTGCCTCCGCCGCCGTTGGACGACTGGATGAGGTGCTCCATTGCGCCCTCAATCTGCATATGACTTCTATCCTTTCCATTCACGCAGTCTTTGCCGATCTCCATCCTAGGCAGGTTGCAGTTGGAAGTTGGAAGCAAGTCTTCAGAGTCTACAAATCCCGAACGGTAGTGATCCAGTGTTTCTGAGCAAGGCTGAAAGTTTAAGATATTCTGCCTGTCTCAAGCTGGTCAAATGCTTCTTCGTCCAAACTCTGAAGCCCTGATCTGTTCGAAGCATTCTACGTATATACTTCTCCTAACCCTTGAAGAGTCACCTAGAAGTTTGTCTCCAGAATGCTCTGGCTGCCAGGCTGTGGAGCTTCTAAGGAGAGCCACTTGGCTGTAGCAGAGTCCTCCTGCAGAGAGAAGCTTGGTTTGGATGTGAGGGCCATTAATTCCTCATTTGAAAATCTCCCCCATTTGCTCTGTGTGGATTTTCCATAGATACTACCAAAGTGCATTCGGGTTTTTGAGAATGGTGGATGGCTTGGTGGGTTTTGGGGTTTGTTTAAGAAGCATCCAAGATATGCCGCCAAATGTCCCAGTGCCTTCTGATTGTAAGAATCATATGAAGCTCAGAGACTAAAGTTTCGAAGGGCATGTTAGATCCGTCCTAGCAGAAATTGGGTGTCTCTCCCCCTCTCCCTCTCTCTCTTTTTACCGTGTCTTGCATTGTGGCCTCCAGCAGTTTTGTTGACCCAAACGAGAAGTTTCAGAGTTTCCAGACAACTCTAAACTTCACAAACTTACAGCGAACGTCTGCAAGAGTGTTATACCCTGCATGCTTTTGGTGCGCGTGCGTCGACATTTCGTTTTTGGAATTCCTATAGTGGATGGAGGAGAGTCTGCAACACCCTATGACCGCAGATGCCAATCAAGTAGAATGTTGAGGTACTCCAAAGTTCGCAAAGTTTCTACCACCAACACTATGAGCTATGTGGTCTAGCCTTTTCGGACTCTATTTTTTTGTATTGTCAACCCCATCTCTTTACCCTTTGCCCTACAGCCCCTAAACCCGAAACCCTGCCGCCTGAGTCCAGAAACCCGAAGCCCTTGAAGCCTACAAGACATCATATATTCCTATATACGTACCCCCTAAATTATCGCAGCTACACCTTGACTACATCGGGTGTAAGAAAACCCCTACATGAGCACTACATCCACTACATAAGCCATATATAACCCCCATGACCCCTTTGAAGGAAACCTTAAAACCCCACCCTTAACCCTGAACCCTAAAAAAAACCCACCCACCTTAAACCCTAAACCTTTCATACCTAAACCCTAAACCCCAAGCCCTAAACCCTAAACCCCAAGCCCTAAGCTGTGGCAACGGACATGCTGGAGGCCTCACTGGCTCCTGGTGCCCGACCAGAGGATTCCTCGCAGCTTTTGGGTACATAAGGAAGATCCCAAGTCGTGTCATGATTATCCTAGGGTGTATATATTCATATAGGGACATACATATATGTGCATGTATGTATGTATGTATGTATGTATGTATGTATGTACGCACGTATGTATGTATGTATGTATGTATGTATGCATGCATGTATGTATGTATGTCTGTACGATTATGTAGGCATGTATGTTTTTGTTATCGGACTATGCATGTGCACACGTCTTGACGTATGCGTAGCTACATTGATGCATTGATGCATGCAGGCATACATGCATGGCTGGACGATTGGATGGTTGGATGGATGCATGTGTTTCCACGTGTGTTCTGTCTGTATGCATGCACGTAGTTATGTAGGTGTGTAGTTGTCTGTCTGTCTGTCTGTCTGTCTGTCTGTCTGTCTGTCTGTCTGTACGTGTGTACGTACGTACGTACGTACGAACGTAAGTGCATATGTCTGTCTGTATGTATGTATGTATGTATGTATGTATGTACGTGCTACGTTTGTAGGTGCCTACCTGCGCATGCATGCATGCTGGTAATTTGGTAGTTGGGTGGGTGGCCGGGTGGGTTAGTATTTATGCACCGGAAGTCGACGCTATCATGGCGATGACCGGGTTGATCGCCAAACTTAGAGAAGTCGCATAGACGGACAGGCGGCTACAGTTCTCTAGTGAGACTGCTGCAGTATCACTCCCTCCCGCCTTCCTATATGCCTGTACAGGCTAGCGTGCATATAGACATACCCTAGTGTTTGGCGCAGGTAAAAGACTTGGGGAGACTTCAAAGGGACTACAAATCATATCGCGCGGAGGAGCACTGTCAAGTTTACGCCTGCTACTCGCATGTTGAATTGAGATCAAGGTCCAGCTCAATGAAGCAGCTAAGTAGCTGAGCCTCTGGCAGCCTCTAGCAAACGTGAGGCATGGCATGGAGACGTCCTATTCCTGTCGCAAGGCTGGCCGGGCCTACACTTTTGCCAATTGTCTTTCACGTGCCCACTGCCAGCTGGAATTCAAAGCTTCAGATGCGGCATGAGTCCGGCACAGGGAGGCGATCTATGGCTCTTCAACCAATTGGGCCTGTGGCCTGCGCCATGATAACAGGCGATGAGGAGCTTGCCAAAAAGGTCTTGTCCAAGGGGCTTGTTAACAACGAAGTTCGCGAATGTGCGCTTCAAAGGCTTTATGAGAAGAAGGGCGTATCCAAGTGGCTTCTTATTAGCGCGACCATTGGTTTCCTGGTGGCCGCAGGGCCTGTGATCGGGTTGAAGCTCCTAGGCTTCACGGCCGCTGGGGTTGCCAAGGGCTCGCTGGCTGCCATGATTCAGTCTACTTTCCCCCTGGTTGGCGCCAGCACATGGTTTGCATGGGCTCAAAGTGCGGCCGCCACCGGCAGCGCTTTTTTCTAGAAGTCGGGCTTAGTTACTGGAGCCCTAGGGCTTCTTGGCCTTGGCAAAGACGGCAACAACGGCAAAGCAGCAGTCATGAGCGACGAGGCCTTGCTGATGGCCGTTGTGAGGAATGGACAAATGGACTATCAGCTTCGGAACCTATTGTTGGCCAGGCTGCGCACTGTTGAGCCAACCTCTGCTCTGTAAGATTAAAAGCTGTAGAATTCGCCCTGTCTTCTGCAGACGGTATGATGCTCGACCTGTCCGGGCTGCTGAAAAGCGATGCATCCACCAACAGTACCCAGCTGCGAATCATAGGCGCCATCGATTTAAATTTTCTTTACCGAATCACCTAGCATAGCCCACAGCTCCTCTTGCTCTGGGCATCATTTGCCATTGCCGCCTTGGCTACGTAGCCTGCCAGGAGCAGACGGCATGTGGCGCGTTGCGTGACAGAGCGGAGGTAGGGACCCACGCTTCAGGGAAGTGATAGTGTTGGCCACAAGCTTCCCCTGTTTGGCAGCATGCTGAGGCTGTGAACTGTGAACTACTTCAACAGGAGCCCAACTCCAACAAACCCTCTACTGACCTAAAAGCATCGTGAGCTTCAAGACCCATTCCTGATCCAGGGATAGCGTCTGTATTTCGCCGACTATGCCTCAGACATGCCTGAAAACATTGCTCTACTGATTTAGGTTTCCATTTAATGCTTTGTGGTTGCAGTGTTGCCCTTAACCTTCAAAACCCGAAGCCTTAAGCCCTGAGAGGCCCTGCTGGCACAAAGCCGTGGCGAGCGGGGCTTACTTTGCGGGCCGTGGCTCGGTAGCAAGAATGGAAACCATGAACAGGCAGAAGTCAAGGTTTACCAGATGCGACCTGGCAGTTTCCGTTTGCAATGCAGCGACCTAGAACATCGTCAATATGCCCGAAATTCTGAAGGATCTTCACGCAGAAAAGTTTGCAAAGCTCTGGGGTCCTGGTTTGCGGCGTGCTGACATATCGGGGCAATGAAAGCCGATGCCCGGATTCTGGCCAGTAGGTCTGCAGGGATGCTTCATTACTACTATGAGTGTTACTGCTATTACCGTGATAACGAATATGATTATGCCTATTATTCTATTTCTACTATATGTACACAAACATGGTTTGTCAAACGATCCTTAGTCGCGCTACTTCCAAACCCCATAGCTTGTGCTTGAATTCATGCTGAGTTTGCCAGATTTAGTCGGTAAGCCAGGACGCTCATGTTCATAAACGGTGTGAAGCCGTCATATCTCAGCTCTCACAAAAACCCAACACCTGTATACGCAAACATCCTTGCTTCCTTTGAATGCCTTCTTGCCTGCAGTGTACTTAAGCCTGTAGCTTGCTGAGCATGCCGGCAACAGACCTCATGATTCCCATTGTTGCCTAAGACCTCGAACTCCACTCAAACCCTAAAAGCCCCCAAAAAGCTCAAAAGGCCTTGGACCCTAACCCTCAAACCTGGTGACTTGGTAAGTAGGGTATCAATGGGGTGGAAAGTCCCCTAATTGGGGTTGGCCTGCTTGCAACCACTCTATACCCTACTCACTAAGTCCCCTGAGCTTCTAAGTAACTCCCTAAACCCTAAGCCTAATGTATATACCCTATTATAATATAGTAGCATATAGTAGTTTCCATTTCCTTTTCCATTATCTCAATATATCCCCTATATAATCCCTAAATAACCCTATAGAATCCCTAAACCCTAAAACCTAAACCCTTAACCCTCAACCCTAAGACCTAAGCCCTAAGCCCTAAACCCTTACAGTTTCCCAAAAAACCCAGGTTTTGGCATCCGGAGCCTCCTCCGCCCTTGCCGCTCCCAGCGGCCTGGGCACCCTGGGGCGCAGCGATGCCCAGGGCCAGACGATCAGACTTGTCAGGGTTTTCCCAAAATTAGGGGTACCTTTAAACCGGATATAGGGGTTATATAGGGGTATATAAGGGCATATAGGATTTAGGTTTAGGGTTTAGTGTTTTTGGGGATAGGGGTTTGGGGATAAGGGGTTATAGTCCCCCTTAAGTAGATTATGGCTGTCGGTATATTGTAGTAAGAACTTCTGGGGCTTTGTGCATTTTGAGGGGTCTTGAGGTTGTTGGGTTTCGAGGGGTTCAGGATTTAGAAGCATTTACGATTGACTTCTGAGAGGTTCTGAAAGCACTGTGGAATTCTCAAAGGCTTTGACGTGATGGGTTTTGAAGGCTTGGAATGATAGTTGGAAGGATTGCGGGCCCTAAACCCTAAACCCTAAACCCTAAACCCTAAACCCTAAACCCTAAACCCTAAACCGGAGGATCTTGAGCGCCCTTAGGCTTTGAGAAGTTAGGCGAGCCCTGTTTCCGGTGCAGCGTGTAGACAGGTCGCTGAGTTCGCCGGCCCAGTCGAAGTGCCGGAAGCCCAGCAGAGTTGGGCTTCAGGGATGAGAAGCCAGGGGTTATAATGGGATAGTGGAAAAGAAAACGGAAACTACTGTTTTGGGGTTAAGGTTGGATATATAGTCCCCCTTAAGTAGATAGAATCTAGGGTACATGGGGATCTTATTATCATACACCCAAAGCCATTTTCTATCTACTTAAGGGGGACTATACCGTTATCATTGTAGCAGGCGAATCGCACACGGGAGGATAAAACGGAAGATGAAATGGACCCTGAAATCATACAAGGGTTCATAGTGGATTGAGGTAGTTTGGGTTTTTGGGGTGTAGGGTTCTATGCTGTTGGCTGCCTGGTGGCGATGAGGGGAGATTGAAACCAGTCTATGCCAACCTTGGGGTCCCAATATGGGGTTTCCCACAGTTAGGGGTACCTTTTTGGGGGTCCTTCTATTCAGGATTATTTTGTTTTGGGGGCCAGTGTTGAATTACATTGTAGTCCCCTGATTTGGGGAAACAACCATATATCACGCAAAGAGAGTGAGTTTCGGCTCGGCCGAAGTCAGACATGGCCACGTTTCATGTCATTCTTGTGACAGCTGTGGTGACTGTGGTGATGCGGCCTGGCAACAGCTGCACGCTGATTGTGGCCCAACTTCTGATTCCTGTCATTAAGCGAAACGATGCATCATTGCAACATATATTACTACGTGGTTTATGCCTACCTAGAAGGCAACCCTGTAAGACGAAATCTCTACGCAGAAAATACGCAAGCCCAAGCAGCCAAATCTACAAAACGATGCCCTGAGCCCTTTCCCTTGCACATGATGGCCCTTCCTCCAACCCCAACATATTTGTCTCACTCTCATTGCTCGTAGCGTGCCATCATACCTAATGATGCCATTTGCCATCATTAAGCTCTTCCCCCTTAGTAACCCGCCCCACCCGCTGACAACAAGTATTTCAATTCAACATGGCTTTCAGATACAATAAATTTTCCCAGCGCAATTAATCAGTGTATTCCACAGCATGCCACAGCATAATGGGGGATGTTTAACATCAGGGAGTCTTTATGGTGGGCAGGCGGGACGGGATAACCTTCGGGCGACGCCATGGCTTCGGCTCAAAGCCCCGGCGAAGCAGGCAGCAGATGCAGCAGCAAAGGGAAGAAGCCCAGATAATTACTGAACTTGTAGTCCCCCTTAAGTAGATAGAATATGGCTTTGGGTATATTATAATAACATCCCCATACATCCCATGTTCTTTCTACTTAAGGGGGATTACATGCCCTTGTAACCCTTATCCTATCTGTTTTTAGTGTAAGCTACCACCCCAACCCGTATTCGAATTTTTTGAGCCGAAGAAGGCTGCCTTTGGAAGATCCTACCTTGAGGTTCTCGTGCGTAGAGCAGCTGTGCCCCAAAAACCTTCAGCAGAGTGCAGGAGGAGCTGCCGCTAAATTTTGACTGGCGCTTGAAGGGGGAGTGGGGGACTGCACATAAAAACCACTTTAGGGGTATGTATGCGCATTATATAGGATTATTAGAAGGATCCACTCCCCCACGCTTCCCTTCAGCGTCAGTAAGTATTGGGCAGTGTTTTGGCTTCAGCCACTTAGCATGGACCCTTGTGCCTGCAGACAGGCGGCCCGTCGTCTGTGGAGGCCAGTGGGGTCCTTGCCTCAGCCACAGCAAGATATGAACTACAGCCTAAATTCCTTGAAGGGGTTACATAACGGAATATAGCGAAGTATTATAGCGGTTCATAAGGGGGATATGGTCTGCCCTCCTACCAAACCTCAGGTGGGCAGAGGCAGAATGTCAAACTGAGACGAGAACAAGGCAAACTTCAGTTTGATCGTGCAGGAAATGCATTCCCAGCTATTGACATATTGGGAAACTGAAGTACATTAGGCAAAGTGACCTAGGTTGACTGGCTGCTCACTCTGACACTTGCACATTCCCCTTCCCATGCCATTTTTCGCTAGAGCGATCCCTACATGGCCATAGGAAATCTTTCCGTTGCTTTAGTGTCTGGAGACAAAGGTCATGAAAAAAGTACGGCCGTTTGCAGGAAAGTTTGTAGTTGTACAGCCTTGCAAATCAGCACTGTGGCCCAGGTGCTTCTCAGAGCGCATGAAGACTGGATAAAGGTGCCACCATGTGCCATCAGTTGCATATGTGCAGGTTAAGTCAAGGCATCCTTGTCCTAGTCCTAGTCTTCTCGGCGTGTAGGCTCTGAGCTCTAAGGCAGTATCCTAGAGGGAGAATTTGACAATGGCTCCACGGCCTTATCATTGTTTTCCAGGAGCATGGTGCGCTACGTCCTGCTGACATCGGGCGGCTGACTCTTGAACGCTTCAGCTTCCAATCAACTATATAGAAAGAGTATTGCTAGTCCCGCTCATCCTGTGTGATCCCTTTGCGCCCTGTACTCCGGAATGGCTGAGGCAACAGCGACCCTAGCTTTTGACAAACACCCATCTGGGGCTTTCCCAATATTAGAGGTACCTTTTGGGGGTCCTTATAATAAGGACTACAGTTCTTTTTGGGGCCTATATTGAATTATAGTGGAGTTTCCTGATCTAGGAAAATACCCATCTCCCCTTACGCAAAACAATT